CGCTGATTGCATTGACTTGAGGCCACAAGAGAGGACCGACTTGACATGAGTAGATTGATGCAGTTCGGCGGAAGCCCTCAAAGAAAAGTGTTGGATTAGTTTGGAGGCTATATCCTTGCCTTTACCATTGGATCCGTTCATCCACAATGGTGAAAATGTCGGATAAAAACTTTCGAGGAAAGTCGTCTCCCAGCATCGGTTCCATTTGCCCGGGTTGTTGCTGGCTGAGTAAGATTGATAGGAAGAATGAGGGTCTTGGTTCATGTTGAGAGAGGCTACAGGTCGCCCGGCCCTTTCAGGTCCAATGAGCGCAGCAGTTGTATCCGGAGGTTGTCCATTGTTGGCCTCCGGTTTGCGTCGCGTGCGTTCTTTGGACCATCCCAAGGTTTTGACCATGGAGGTCCAGTTACTGCCATATTTGACCAAAATGCCCCGAAGTAATTGATTGAAGTCCTTCTTCAAAGACTCGGTAAAAAGTAACAATTGGACAAAACCTTGTACAATTGTACAATGTCCCGAGCTACACACAGACACAAATGTATTAGCCAGGATTGTATTATAAGCGAGGTCAACGGAATTAATGACAAAGACAAACAAACTACTCACATCAGGATGTAATATTGTTGGTGCATAGATTCCTGACCGTTGGTGGTGTCGGGAATCTCGGCCATAAGGGGATCTTCATCCGGCAATGGAGGATCATCCAGCGGGAGGCACTCTTGACCACAGAAGAGCATACTGTGGATGTCTGATGCATTCCACCAATAAACCCAAGCCTTGCTTTTGGGAAATAGGCGCACCATTTGGTCAAATTTGTCTCGGAGAGATAACCCACCCGGCTTGTTGGGTTCAAGGAGGTCGAGGGCCAGGCGTTCAAATTCCAACTACCATTTCAGCCGAGGTATTAACATTGAGATCATCCAAGTTAAAGGAAAACCGTGTTCAGCGGCAAAACTCCCAAAACCCCCAATCCCTATTCCAATTTTTGAGTTTTACGCGTCCCAACCAATTGAATCCATGTTGACGTGTGCCACCCCAAATCATATATTTCCATCTTGATCTTGCGAATCCAACAACCAAATTGATCCAGAACCACCCTCCATCAATGTATCTCGGATTCCAACTGCTCATCTCCCAGGTATGTTTCCAGCGCTCTCCCATTTCTACATTCATACCTCCCCCCATCAATTACTTCCACCATCACTTTGTTTTCATTGGCCATCCTCACTGATCTGTTCACTCTCTTTTTGTTTATTCTTGATGACTGACTATTTTGTTTTGTCTCGGTTTATAGAAAGTACTTGAAGAACATCTTCGGGCAGATGATGGAGTACTTAAACCTCAAAATGAACCTGTTCCTTCTGCGAGCTTTCTTTCAATTACTCATGTTTATTTACAGATTGTTTCTGCTTCACAAACCGAATCACCTAAACTGGATGTGGGGCCTCGATGAGGCTCATTACAAAGCTCATTTCACCACACTTCTAGAGCAATTATCGAACACAAACCTCACCTACCACGAGCGTGATCTTTTGGTTCAACAGGTGGTTGACTTCTTGTTGGCCCAGAAGAAGGGTTTCGTCAGTGCCTACATGAAGGTCTTCAAAGAATACGATCCAGCGAAAGCTTTGAGTAAGTTAAAGGGCTGTCATGAGCACTATCAACAGTCTATTACTCGAGTCAAGAAGAACTGTAACATTGTGGATTCTGGTAGAATTGTAAGTCTTCTGATGTTCTCTTCTAGTACACGTCCCCTTCCCTTTGTTAGATACTACGAGCCCATTCAGAGGCGGGCGCCGCACAGCTCCTTCCCACGGGTTTTATTGAATGTTCAAACTGATCTCAGTTTCCCAAAAGCTGTGATAAATAGCCCCTCTAAAATTCAACCTTGAGTTTTTGAGTCTAACAAAAAATTACTTTGTGATTGTAGACTCATCAAAATCTAAGTCCCACAGTTGATAACTTGCTCCTCATACCTGAAGCACAAAACTTACAGGGTCAAAAGTTTCCTGCAAGAGTGTGGAGTTTTGATCAGTCAGGAGACACACAGTAGTATGTACTATGTGATCAGACCAAGCAAATCATTACATATTGCTCTCTCTCTGTGTTGCCCTCCTCCCTCCTGGTGATGGCTCTGATCAGCAGTTGACCGCAAGATCTCAAAATATTGTATGAGAGTCCAGAAAAATGGCTCAAAAATGCATATGATTTCCATTTCCAAGACCTAACATCAAAGGCATCAAAGATTCTGCAAAATCATTCAACACAGAAGTTAAAAACAAAATCTGATGTAATAGAAATATTGTCTACTCCACCTCTATACCAAAGTTCCTATTTTTCCATGGGATCTCTTACTCAAGCCTTGACCAATATTAATTTCAAACTTTCAGCACCTTCACCTCCTTTTAAGCTTAATCACAATTATTCCTTGCCCAAAATTGGAACCATTTTCAAGCTTCATTTGATGATCACTTGCTACTTGTTTTTCTTTTATAAGATTTCAATTTTATTAACAATCTTGGATTGAAATTTACACTTTACTAACCTTGTTTCCTCATTTCATTTGAATCCTCAACTTAGTCTTCAATGAAAAATATATATTTTCATCCTTTTTATGATGAAATGATGAAGCATTTCACTTAACAATTTTTTCATGTCATCTTTTCCATCACAATATTTTTGAGCTTGTACATCAACAAAATATCAAACTTGATTCACATCAATTGGATATTTTCTGCTTTGGGTCATGGTTTGATGAGAGAAATTACCAATGGGTGCTGCTGCTCTTGCTGCTTTTTATGAAGGTGTAGGTGCATGGCCAATTCTTAAACTTATAGAATTCATTGCTCCTTGATCAATAAGTCAAAGAGCAGATGGAAGTAAAATGCACTCAAATACCACTACACCAAATGACATCTTTACCCAGGGGTATAGAAAAGTAGTGTGGGCATAGAAAACTATGGGTAAAGTACTTTTCTATATCCATAGAGATAGTATCATCTATGCCTATACAAACCATTCTGTTCTATACCCACAGATGAAAATATTCACATGACCACAAGGACTGTACATATAAATCTAGACTCAAAGCCCTTCTTGAGTCTTGTCCCATGGGAAAGCATGGTCCATCAGTCATATTGTACATATGTAGAGAGTGTCTGTCAATTTGTGTAAGATTGTGCATACACTGCAAAGATAATGTATTTTTCCAAGGTGAAAAATGATTGCATTTGATGACCAAAATGATTGCTAATGCAGAATTAATGCAGAATAATGCAGAATTAATGCAGAATTAATGCAGAATTAATTGTTTTGTAGATTAAATGTAATCTTTTTTCACCTTGGAAAACTACATTATCTTCACAGAATACTGAACATGGTTGAAGATCTCTTGTATCAGCATAGAATTGTATTTTAGGTTAAAAATATCAAAAAACAGAAAATTGAGATTCTGTGCACCGTAACACTGCCTGTGGGTCCCAATACATACAGCTGAGTCAGCGCAAAGAAAATACTCAATTTCTCAATCTCAAATATTGTACATAGGTGTATCAAAAGCATTGTTTATTGGTATAGAAAAGTACCCTACCAATAGTTTTCTATGCCCACACTACTTTTCTATACCCCCGGGTAAAGATGTCATTTGTTGTAGTGTACTCTTATAGCCCCAAAACATTTTGAGACTGACTTGATTGGTAAACCTGCCAAGACTGATCAATATCTGAATTTGATTTCAAGTTCCAATAAATTTGATAACAAATCCAATTGACTTCTATCAACTTTGTCCAAGTTGAACCAATCAGATGAATATGTCTTATATTCATTTCTAATTCAAATTTGTCAATACACTTCCCATGTTGATTAGATTTATATAAATTGTTCAAAGTAATCAATATATTTCCAACTTTGATATAATTGACAAATTATCTTCACGAGTAAGACTGATATAAAGTACATCTAACCAACATCAAAGAATATCCTTTATTTTATATAAATTTGATCAGTTTGCCAAAATCTGGTTACTCTTGGATATTCATTCATACCTGAAGGCTTGTAGTTCAAATTAAGGATTGATAGAGATGTTTGAACTTCAATCTCCACATTTCTATCCTCCAATTCCAAAATTCCACACAATCTTTTGATTTTCTGATTTGAATCTGACTGATTTATTGGTCACCCTGAATGATTTCAGTAACTAAGAATTAATTCCAACATTCATCTGACCAAATTGATCCTATTTTCAAATTGATGGGATTTGGTTCACACTTAAATAAGTTGATGATAATCTTGGTCAGAAGGTTTTATTTGCTTCAAGTAAATTTGTAGGTTGATCAGATCTGAAAAAACTTGGAAATTGAATAGAAGTCAAATGATTTAGTTATTTAAAGGCTTGATGATCTATCTATTGAATTAAACACAAACCTATGTACATAATTTGATCCTCTATCAACTCTACCCCATTTAACTATGATTTCAATGCATTATTGTCCAGTGAAATTTAACCATTTGTATAATTTTATAAATGCAAGGATTTTGTAATACTTCCCATCTATCGCATCCCTTGTACTCCTAATCTTGATGATGATTTAAAGATCTTGAAAACAAGATTGATGTTTCGAGTCCAATGTTTAAACTAAAGGTGATATTGAATTGTTTTGACCTTCTTTGAATGAGGGATGATAGTTCTGATTCAAACACTTGCTTAAGTTGTCTGTGATTGTATTCAAAGTGAGTTCCAGATGATAGTTGATGATTGAAGTCACAGTTGAATTACATTGAAAGATTAGATGAATGAGCAAAATTGTTGATTTAGTGGTTGAATTAAAAATGGTACAAACTCATCTGGATGAGCTCACTAATTTGTGTCTTGATTCGATTCGATTTAGTTCAATTCGCTTTGCATCAATTTGATTTGCTTCAATTGTATTCAATCTGATTTGGTGTAATACAATTCACCTTCGTCCAATCCGATTGAATGCAAGACAATTAGACGGTGAACCTCATGATGATTCTGTCGGTTTAGTATGTATAAGGAATATCTTCAAGAGATTGGGTGCTTGAGTTGGTTCTGGTAATTTGTATGACCCTGTTACATAAATCATGGGCATTCGGGCTGAGAGGTAAGAAAGGTGTTTCACTGATAACGTGGGCTCTCCATTGCCATAAATATCCATCACAAAAACCGCTGATTTATCTTCGGTCATCTGATCGAGCCTGTTAAAATCATAACTGTTGATCATAGATGAATCAAGAGGACGAAGACAGACTGAGAACCATTGGGACAAAGTCAGATAAAGCACTCATCCTGATTGACCACATACCATACTGGATCCTGTTGACATGCGACCAGACTCAGTTATGATCCCTGATCACTGATAGATTTGAGATTGCTTTCTTTAAAAAGATTTGTACTTAAGTCGGTGGTTGAGATCATTCTGATAAGGTTGATAAAGAGCTACACAGAAAGCATTAGTAGTGAATTGAAACAATTCAAAGAAAAGTCAAAAAGAATGAACCTCTTCAAAATCGTCGAAATAGACCGATAAACTCAACTATTTCTCTCATTCACCCTATTCAAATACTCTTTAATAAAGACATCTGATGTATCAAAACAGTTTAATTTTCATCCGTTCAAGGTACTTTGTGTTGTAGGCAAGAGATATAATGTTGAATAAATCACGAGATCAAAGGTGAATGGAGTTTTTAGGTGATTCGGTTTGTGAAGCAGAAACAATCTGTAAATAAACATGAGTAATTGAAAGAAAGCTCGCAGAAGGAACAGGTTCATTTTGAGGTTTAAGTACTCCATCATCTGCCCAAAGATGTTCTTCAAGTAGTTTCTATAAACCGAGACAAAACAAAACAGTCAGTCATCAAGAATAAACAAAAAGAGAGTGAACAGATCAGTGAGGATGGCCAATGAAAACAAAGTGATGGTGGAAGTAATTGATGGGGGGAGGTATGAATGTAGAAATGGGAGAGCGCTGGAAACATACCTGAGAGATGAGCAGTTGGAATCCGAGATACATTGATGGAGGGTGGTTCTGGATCAATTTGGTTGTTGGATTCGCAAGATCAAGATGGAAATATATGATTTGGGGTGGCACACGTCAACATGGATTCAATTGGTTGGGACGCGTAAAACTCGAAAATTGGAATAGGGATTGGGGGTTTTGGGAGTTTTGCCGCTGAACACGGTTTTCCTTTAACTTGATCATGATATCAACGGTCAGTGATCAGAACCAAACGTAACAAATGAAAGGTAGAAAAGGGAAAATGAGGTGGCGTACCTGCCCCAGTGCATCAAATCCATGATGAGCCGGTCACCCCCACCGTGGCTTTCCTTTTTGGGCATGAGGCCCTTATTGATGAGCACCTTGCGTCGCAAATAACCGAGACGGCCGCCATTACCAAAAGCAGGATGGATATCCACGACAGGTGCAGTGACCGTCTGTCCTGCACCTGCTTGCCCGACCTGATGAGACGAGACGTGAGGGAGGCAAAGTTAGAACTTCTTCCGTAGTGACGAGTCAACTCGGGCACTTACCTTCAGGACCAACGGTCCCGCCTTTGGATTGCTAACCAATTGATCCGTGAGCACACGCATGGCAAGGGGATCACCCTTTTTCGAAGTTGGCCATACGTGTTTATGAGTACCTGAGTGTCTAAGTACACCCCAACCTGTATGTTTCTCAATGTTGATTCGACAGTTGGAGTCAGGGCATTGCGTCCATACGTGATTGCTATCACACTCAATGGCAGGGCATTTGGGATGACTGATGTGAGAAGAAGAAAAACTGTCAGCCCAAATGGAAAGAGACTGACGCCAGAAGGAAATGGAAAGAGACTGAGAGGGAATGAACAAGCTGAGACGTAATGAGAATGAAACAAAATAGGAAAGAAAGGATACGTACTCTTGAATCAGTTCCGCGGCTTTGCCATCAGCCGTTGGAGGTGGAGCCGCATATTCACAGAAATCATCCTTGCAATGTAAGACACCCAGACATTTGAACCAAATCGTTTTCCACGGGCCGTTCTTTGCCCCATGGGTCTTTTGAGTGTGGGGGTAAGCGATGTGGCCAAAGTTCGTGACTTGATCGGTAGGTTTGCAAACGAAAACCGTTTTGCCGTTGGGGTAAATAGGGTAGCCTTTGGCATTGCACGTAGACCCGTGATCAATGAACCTCTTGAGTGCTCCGGTCGCGGGTATAGGTATCTTGAACTTTTGCCGGTCTTGTTTGGGCGGTTGTGTTTTTTCTTTTGCTGTCCAGGAGATGAGTTGACAACTGAATCATTAACTAGCTTTATTGGGTTATCAGCGTCAAGGAGCATGTTGTAAACGTTGGCCGCCGTCATTTGAGAGGGATCAGGGGTACTGGCAGTATCAGGATGACTACTTCATTGTTCTTCGGACATGATGTCACAGTATAGTGTAAGCAAAATGGAAGGGTTGGATGAAAGGGCTTTGTGAGATTGAGTGATTGGATGGTTTGGGTAGACACGTAAGAATAGGATCAACAGGTAGACTTGGTAGAGTTGAACAACTTGGTAGACAAAATTCAGAACGGTCAACTCTCGTTCGTAGCTTTGAGACTCTGGGGAAGAGGAAGAGGGAGGTCGTATCAAAGAATATGAGCCAGGCGGTTGGAGAATTCCATTGGGGTGACAAGCTGGTGAACGCAGGAGGAAACAATCCATTGTGAGATGGATCTGAGATGTCAGCGCAAAATACAAGAGCTCTTCTCAGAATGGAAAAGGGAAAGGTTGACGGTGATGAGATTGCATCCAGACTATCGTGGCTTTTATCGGCTGGTTGGTTGGTGAGACCTTCGTTATATCGGACGTTACCTTCATAAGATTGGTAGAGTGGTGTTTGAGGTTGTTGGGTGACGATCAAAGGGCATATGCAGGGAGAGAAGGGCAAGACTTACACAGTTAGGCCGGTCGGATACTGCGCAGATGCTGTGCCAATGGGGTGCAAATATGTACTTTCGCGGTGATCCTATAAAAAAACGTCCCAGGGTCATACATCCAACTTTGAGTGTAAGGGACTTAGAGAGTAAAAATAGAATTTGGGGGCTACTACAGATTTTTGCCCCCTAGATTATTTGCCCTCGATATGATATGTAAAAGTTGAGGTGTAAAAATCAATGTTTGGCGCGGTGATTTACAAATAAACACTCATGGTTTCACACATGAGTTGTTTGCACTCGTGAAATCAGGCCTGATTAAGTGTAAAATTGTATTTCACCCTACTTACAGTAGATTTCTACACTCGTCCAAATTTACACTCATTATTGAGTGTAAATGGATGTGTGTAAAAATCTATTGACCCCTTGGGAATTCAGGAATAGACGAATTTTGTCGCTTTTCACTCAATACATGGTTCTATTCTGTCATGCTATTACTAACCCAACTGTCAAATTCATACTCTCTATATGAGCAAAACTGGGATCTAGTGGTTGTAAATTTACTCACTGGTACATAGAGGTTCAAATGAGGACCTCATCATGTTTTGAGAGTCTTTAGACCCAAAATATATACAACAGATAGAAAAGCTAGCGTAGTGATCAAATTGAACCTCGCTGCAATGGGACTCAAGTTGTTTATCAAATGCACGCGAATCATTGAAACTTTCTAAATTTAATGCAATGTCTATTTTGGGAGGATAATGATATGTCTCATAGGACACAGTTTGAGGGATCCCATGGGCTCAAGATGATACACGGTCAAGGATGCTACAAGAATTTTTTCATTCACAGCATATACTAAGGTCAAGTCATGTCAGTTCAAAAAAAAGTTTGTACTCTTAAGTTGGCTTAGAGAGTTGAGTCGTTGATTTGGGTCCTTTGTCAGTAATAAACGAATCACTTCGCAACAGTCATGAGAAAGGTCAGCGGAATAAAAAAAAACTTCTGAAGTTAAGATATTGTGCTCTAAACTGTCTTGACCGTAACCTATCAAAACAAACACAAAAAGTGAGATCAGTTAAATGAGACAACAGATCAAGAAGATTAAGAAGTGATGAGAAGTGAAAAATTTGAGACATACCTTCATGAAAAGGTTGTTGACCAGTGACTAATTCGTATAGAAGCACTCCAAGCGACCACCAATCAACATTCTTCGAGTAAGATTGTTTCAAGATGATTTCTGGAGCTCTGCTATAGGGAGTACCAACGTCACCGCGAGTAGATCCAGACGAATCAACCACCGTAGCTGTACCAAAGTCAGTTAGTTTGATTTGATCGTCGTTCATCAATAAAACATTGAGAGTTTTGACATCTCGATGGATTATTTGATTTTCGTGTAAATATTCAAGAGCTTCAGCAATCTGCAAGACAAAATGCTTCGCTTTGCTTTCAGAAAAGTTTCCTCTGAATAACATATGGCCTAGATCACCTTTGGGAGCAAGTTCTAGAACCAGGTGAATGTCTTCATCAGTTAGATAAAATCCAAAGAGCTGGATGATGTTTGGATGATCGACTGCGTCAAGCAAAGCAATTTCATTCATGATCATTAAAATATTACTTGTTCCTTCAGTGAACCTCTCCAACTTTTTGATCGCCCAAGAAGATCGATCACGTTTGTAGATTGCTTTGTGAACTGAGCCAAATCCACCTGATCCGATCTGTTTGAGAATTTCAAAGTCGTCAGGAGAGAGAGGTTCAGTGTTCTCATGAGGGCAATCTTCTAGAGAGAAATCAGAACGATCGTACTGGGGGGTTAGAGCCATTGGGGATTGAATGAAGCGTTTGTAGGATGAAAAAGGGGATCAGTTCGGTAGTAGGAGTTATTGATGTATCAGGATGATGGAGTGTGGTAAGAGTGAAAGAGTATTTTGCACACCGGCTTTCTCAAAGATGATTTATGTAATACAGATATCGCAGAAGCTGATGATCACGGCGGTCCGAGTAGTGAATATCCTTTGTTTACATACATATTCAAAAAGCTTAAAATTTAATCTGTATTTGAACGGCAGAAACCACCTGAGCATTTTTATAAAATGTTTTGTACTTTCTCAAAATGCTCAATAAACATAGCAATTGGCCTTCGAAGTGATGCCCAAAAAATTGCATTGTATTGTGTCCAAGTTGTTCTTTTAGAAAAAGTAAAGAAAATCAGTTAGAGATACATCATTGAGGAAGTCTTTATGATTTTAAAGTGTTTGTCAACCTACATAAATTCAAGAGTCCTTGCCGCAATTTCTGATGATGGATCAAATCCATTGATGTGTTGTTGTTCTCTCTATTTCCATTGCTCGTAGAGACACGAGCCAGAGTGAAATAATGATAAAAATCATAGAATATGTAGTTTATACCGTGAGCTGTCCAGTATATCTTTGGCCTCACTCTTGACTGCTCATACCCAGTTTGGACCTCATCATAAGAGCTCCCAATCAGGCATTAGACTTGCTTTAACGCTTGGTCATTGTGGTAAATCTCAGTAGATCATCTTATATGATCTGTCATACTCGACAACGTCTTCATTGATAGTGTGTTGGTAGCTCGTACAGATGTCCACACTGATTCCTATGAATCTTCACCATGATCGACATCTTGACATAAACATTAGAAGAGCAGCTTATATGTTATTATGATATCCCACGTCAAATTCTGAAGTCGTAATTCAAAAGGCTTCGGTCCATTCCTAGACCCAAGTCTCAACTCAGTGTGTTAAGATGACCCATACGTTCTCTGATAGCTTATGATTAAATGACCCTAGAACCTTAATCAGGCAAACCATTCTTGATATCGCGTTCAGTATATATTCAAGACCCATCTTCAATACAAAAAGCTCTGGAATTGTCATGAAGCTCGATTAAAATTTTTTTTGCATCTTTCACACTCAACATCAACACCATCGATAGACCGCTGGCTACTCTTACGATCATTCACTATCATTGGCATCTTGGAATCAACACCTCGCCGAGAGCCGCTCATATATCATGATGAAAAACCGAATGTCAAATTTCAGAGTATGTATGGGAAGATCTTGTGTGATTTGAGCATCCAAATTGAAATTGACATGTTCACCGAACATAAAACTTATATATGCTTTCTGGTCTGCTTGTTTAAAATGTACAAGCCAACACATTCACCTATTGAGAAAAAGCCAATATAGTTTGAATTGGATTCAGTGCGCTTATGCTAACAGATAAATTACTGTGGTCCAACCAACGTGAAAACAAATATTTATTTCTAAGAGTGAAGTCAAATTTTCTCTATATGATACAAATGAATTTCACATTGATGATTATAACACCGCTATCTTGCCTCCCAATTACCAAGATCATACTTATCAAGTAGCAAATCTCTCTGAACGATTAGGTCCGTCATTTTGATAAAAGTTGACGCATCCTCCTTTCTGATCTGGGTTTCTCAAACCCAATGTCTTTAGAAAGATCTCTTTGACCCCTACAGAGTATTTTTTCCGACATCTTGACATCCGACATCACAAGAACCGTTCGCATATCTTGATCGTCTAACCTGTCTAAGGACCAATCCCAGATTTCAGATACAACGTCCTCAACATGATCTTTAAAGATTTCAACCCATTTCGTAATGGATTGAAAAGTCAAGTGATAACTCAGAATTGTTCAATCATACCCCTCATTCAATGGTGGTGATCATCAACGTAACCAAAAGCGAAATATCTTGGATTGGTTCAAGTCTTTTACCTGTTCAATTCAGATGTGCGACAAATATGGTTGATCGCTCTAGGGATGTAGATCATCAACAGACATTCACGTCCTTTCATACAAACGATCAACCTCAACCTCTTTTCTGATGAAGAATTTGGTGCACAAAGAAGTTTGGGAGTGCGATTGTGTTCCTAGATATCTTTGATTTGATCATGATGGGTACATTCCAAAAATGAACAGATCCTGAATACAATAAGCTACAAAGCAACCTGAGAATCATCGGAAGCCTCACAGTTGTTCACCATACCATCTCACCAATGAAGAAGAAAACACTCGTTTCTCCATAACAATGCAAGGCTACGACGCGCGAACATAAACAAGGTCATTCAAAGCCTATGATAACAAAACTTCATGTCACTAAATCACGTCGCCAAGGTTCATCAAAAAATTTCAACACCTTTTTCAATTTCTCAGCTCAGTCGGTCCGACTAGTTCCAGTGACCTAGTTCATGTCTATAACTATCTATGAACGGACGGGCCGAAAGAGATCACAATTAACCAATAGATATATAAGCTTCAACTCACAATCTTACAACCTGCGTCAGAGTTTGGTATTACAAGCCGTGAAACAGTAGTCTTCAACACAACTGGCAATGATATGTACATGAACCAACCACGTTCTGGGAAGGTAGTGGGGTCCGAAGCGAACCAATGCCATACATCTCAGACGTAAAAAGAGGGCGCGGGTGAGAGAGGTGCTACCCTATGAGTGATCTTCCACGGTAAAGATCTGATCTCTACACACATTTTCTATCGAAGGCTTCTGGGAGTCGGACAAAGTGTATACTTCAAAAAAAATCCTTGAAAGCTAACTATATCAGAATGCTCAAGATCCTTTTTTCTCAGCTCAGCCTCGACTTAAAGATGATCCATAGACAAATCATCGTTTATTATGAAGGTGTATTTGATTATACGAATTCTTATTCTTCATCGACTTGGAACCGGATTTTTTCAATTCTTGAGTGCTTGAGAAAAGTCTCTTATGTACTTTGGCACAGGTCAATGTTCGATTGCAGATATTTACTCCCGGAGTGACTTGAAGTTGACGAGCTAGTCGAAAGCCTCATTTGTACACACATAGAGGACAGAAATTTTTAATCTATTCTTCATGCAAACCAAAGCCAATCTAAGGGTGAGTGCCTCGCACCCATGCACAAGGCGTGAAACGCAAAGCTCGTGCAAAAAACGCGCACCCGTGCGGCGGGATTTCGAAAACAGGCGCTCACAACTTGTTCACATAGTCACAAGTTCAATCCACCAGTAGGACAAGATGTGGTCTTCAGCATTATAAATCTGGTATTATCTGTAGATGACAATCGATAGGACGAAGAAAGATCTCCTTCAGAGCCTTCCTGTAAGTACCCAAGAACATTGGCCCTTTTCTATCGGGAACAAAATCAATTCAGCTGATAGTAGTTTTTGGTCTGAAACCTATCTTTGGTTCGAATGATGATAAAGATATGACGGTATGACTGTTCGGGATCGTTTTCGTGTTGAGCTTGCAAATGAAAGGGCAAATGAAAGGTGCGATAGAGATGAAGATCAGTGAAGCAAAAACGATGAAGGTATACTTGGTCAGACTTTGATGTACCTTGATCCTCCTCGATCCCTTTTCAGAGACCGAAACTTTCGCATCCTTCGGATTCTAGGGTTAGGGTATAGAGTTTCAATTTTGTTTCATCGCACTTTAAGTTCAGCCTTTTCTTCTCTCCTGACTCAGCAAATGCATATCTCAAAAAGGTTCTATTCTTTTTTACATCAATCTTTGACGATCAAACTTGGCACTTATTAGGAGTGCTCAAACCTGAAAAGTTGAGATTTGGAATGAGATTTGGAAGCCAAGATTTGGACCTATGATTCTTGTACAGATCTGTACAAGAATCATAGTTATGTTCATATTGGAGTATAGATGTTGTTCGAGCTTTGAAGCTTTGCTCGCTTCAA